CTGTGTTTGATAACTGCCAGATGTTTGCTTGTTTAAGGAAGTTTATAGGCTTGCATGTGGCAGTGTGTGAAGACTTTCGATAATTTTGTATTTTCTAGCTTCCCAGATGCCAAGTCTCCCTAGGATTTGCTTCTTTTCTTGTTCTAAGCACAGGTTTTATTTGTTTTTTGTTGTTCTTGATTTATACAACTCATGCATATTCATTAAAAATAATATAGAATGTTTAAGACAAAAGTCTAGATGCTTTCAAAAAGGAGTAGCACATTTATGGTTGATGCCATCTGTCCCTTTGGCTCTATGTCTCTTTTCCCTACGCATCAGCTTGCTTGTAGTGTAGGTTGTTATGAAAATTAATAAGGACTTCCAAAATGACAAAGTCTGAAAGTAATCCCTGACTATCCCAGGTCCAAGTTCACACAGGATATCTTGTAGTGAATGTGAATCACATCCTTTATGGTGTTCAATTGCTCTTACTATTTTTGGATTCTTCTGCACATTGTCATTAGCTCAAATGTGGATAAGTGCTTAGAAGGTAGCAAATGTTTTAAAAATATATCATTTTTATTTTTGTTTTTAATGGGCTACAGTTACATAAATAATCATAAATAGCATATAACTTCGTTACATTGGACTCATTGTTACAGACAATAGAGTACTTGAATAGAGGATTTGAGCATTCACTCAATGTCCAAGTTCTACATATTCTAACCCTTGGTTTGCAAAATTTTCTTCAAGTTATTTAAGCATTAAAATAAAGACTAAGCACTATGCAACTAGAGAGGCTGGCATATTTAATCTATAGTCTGTAGTCTTGATTGATTATGCAACCTGTAAGGGAAAACACATCCTATTATTTTTCCTTTTTGTTTTATTTTATTGTTAAGATGTTGTACAGAGGGGTTACAGTTATATGAGTAAGGCAGTGAGTACATTACTTGTGGATCATTATTACCCCTTCCCTTCTTTGTTGTCCCACTATCCCTTCCCCTCTCCCCACGCTTCCCTTCCCCCACACCATATTCTTACCACTGGTTTGGAACATGAACTTCCTCCCATTGGATAGTACCTATCTTTCTAAGGTGGAGTCTCCTGGTTAGAATTATAAGTACCAACTGAGAAAGCAATATATACTTCTTTCAGTTTCTACTTATTGCCAGTTTGTGTATAGGCTAGCTACTTGTTGATTACTTAAGGATGGAGTATTATACACACCTGATTTTAGATAACAGTCTGAATGACTGTGAGTCACTTGAAGTCCTGAGACTAGTCCCTCAAAGGATGCATAAGCAGAGCTTAGGGATTCTTTTTTATAAAAGTACAAATAATTACTTATAAGGAAATGGAAATAGATAGCATTGTTCTAAACACCTCCTTTGTGGTTTTCTTACTGGGATGGGCAAGTCCTAGGCTACATGTAATATGCCCATCAACTCCAAGTTGATCTGGCTTTTCACAAAGTCCAAGTGTCAAAGCTATTTAAGCCTTCAGGTTACAGTCTTTCCATTAGAGAGTTTCTTGTGCTGCTCTACGTCATTGGTAAATTTTAAAGCCTTATGTTTTACTCAAAATTTATATTCAAATGGTAAGCTAAATAGAATATTCCCTTAAATATCCACAAAAGCCTTTAGAGGATCCTTTCTATCACTAATAGAAAAATGTATAATAAAGTTACTTGTAGGTCTGGGAAGGTGTCTCAGTGGTAGAATGCTTGCCTCGCATGCATGACACCCTGGGTTCGATTCCTCAGCACCACTTAAACAGAAAAAGCCGGAAGTGGTGCTGTGGCTCAAGTGGTAGAGCACTAGCCTTGAACTGAAAAGCTGCAGGACAGCACCCAGACCGAGTTCAGGCCCTACGACCGACCCCCAAAAAAGGAAAATATACTTGTATATTGTAGTATACATCAGAGCCCCAAACTTCCCATATGTATTGCACCCTAATTTCTATGACTTATTTTCTACTTTCTAGCATGCAATTATTTAGCCAGGGCTTTCACATCACTTGCCATATCGTCCTGATAGGCTCTGATTATACAGAACATGATTTTCTACAGAATGTTCGATAATTCAGATCTTCTTGAACAAAATAATGCTAAGGAGGAAACAAGTTAATAACAGCCTTAAGTAGGACAGAAAGGGCATACTGCTGCTTACTAGGTGTATGAAAACCTTTATTTTGCCTGCTGTTCTTGTTTTTGTTTTGTTTTGTTTCATTTGCTGGCCTTAGCGCTTGAATTCTGGGCCTGGGCACTGGGCCTTCCCTCTTTGTGCTCAAGGATAGCATTCTACCACTTGATCCAAGGCCACTTCCAGCTTTTTTGAGTTTTCCTGCCCCAGCTGTCTTCACACCCCATTCCTCAGATCTCAGCCTTCAGAGTAGCCAGGCTTACAGGAATGAACCACCAGCGCCCAGCTATTTTGTCTGATTTATTTAACAGTTAAAACCTTGCAGATTGAAACTTTCCAACAAGCTGGGATGTAAGTCAGTGGCAAAGCACTTGCCTACCAAGTGCAACATCCTGCATTCAATCCCCAGTACCAAAGAAAGAAAAAGACAAAAAACAAAAACACCTTCCCAACAAGTATCAGGAACAATGTTGATCCTTCTCCCTCCTAGAAAGCAGTTTCATCTGGAACATCACTATGTAAATGAAAACCCCTATGTAATCACTATGTAATTGAAAAGTTTATTAGGTTTATGATAATTTGCATCCCTTCTAAAAGATCCTTCTATCATCTGAGCAGTTCATTTGGACAAATTAATTGTGCATGTGGTAGGAATTGCTACCCCTGCATATTTCAGAACTTTAAAGTGGCATGGTGCTCTCTGAAGCCTACAGATGATTATAAAGATATAAGAGACTCCCCTTGGGGCAGGTTCAGTTTTCAGGACTATCTCCCCAACAGCTGGGACTTCTGCTATGATTTGTAACTTGCACAAACAATTGGTCTCTGAACCAGCTGTTAAGTCAGATCTATAGCCTGTACCAATATGCACAACCAGGGCCTACTTCTCTTTCCCTAATGCAATTGTAAGTCAAGGGCTCAAATGAGTTCTTCTGATCAGCAGAATTCAACTGATATCTAAGTGCCAAACCACAGAAAAATCTGGAGAAAATTATTTCTAGGACTCCACTCTCCCAAGATGTAAGAATACTGATTTGGTTATTGAGTCCTTCCATGGTTTCCATTCCAGTATTATACTTACCTAACAACTTCCATACCAGCTTCTTTAATGATCTGCACAACACTTACGAAAGAACAAGTGTAAGTTACGATGTAAGATACATAGAGGCCGTATTATTATTATGTTTACAGAATTTTCAGCTACAGTGCTAATTGTTCTGTGTAAATTCTAGGGAGGTTATGCCCTTGGTATTGTACAAATGTGAGAGCTGAGATAAAAACTCCTAAGTAGTAAAGCTGGGATTTCAGACTAGATTTATTAGGCTCTGGAAACCTGACCCCATCTTTACATCATCACTTTCTTGCCACTCTCAGGTTTTTTGTTTTTCTTTGACCTTCTGCTTAAATTCTGCCTAAAGAATTATTTATTAAGTAAAAAAGAACTTAGAGAAGAACCATCTTTTGAGGTGCAAACATGATGATGTTGTAAAAATCAGAAATCTAATAAGTGGAGCTACCAGGTTATAGAAGATGTGAATCTTAGTCAATTATATCACTGAGAAATAATGATAAATAAATATCTATGATTTTTATGGTAATAACTTGTGCTTTCACCATTAAGTTGATTTAGAATGTGAATAATATTCTCATGCATGCTAGTAATGCAGGTCCAGATGTATAATAGATATTTGTCTTAAATGCTATAATCTGTTCATTTCCTTATTCAAATTGACTGGCCTTTAACTTATAATACAATTAATATATACTATTAAATTCTCAATTTGAGAACTATCTATGATTAATTATTCATCCTAAAGGACACAGAGGCAGCATTATCTAGTTTTCATTACAATTATTAGTCTTGAAAGTAATGTCTCTCCAGTATGATTTTTAGAGGCATAACAAAGTATATGACCATTTCTGTGTGTTTTGAAATTCTTCTTGAAGCCTCCTTGAAGCCTCCTTTCTCCTAACAATGTAATGGACAGGTGAATGAAATTTCATCCAAGAGTTTTACACACCTTAGTGTGATTAGTGTTCAAATGATCTTACTGCCAATAGTTATAACACTGTATTAACTGTAAATTCATTTATCTTACTGTATTAGTATAATTGTAAAGTCATGTAATGTATTTTTGTTGTCTCCACATAAAAATAATGTCAGAATTTTTTTCTCATTGTTAACCTTCTCACTGTTAACTTGTGGCAAATAAGGATTGTGGCCAATCCTTTCCCATGTGGCATTGTGACTCAGAAAACCCATAGATCTCCTAGGTGCCTTCAAACTTCTCCTTATACATTTTGTATCCATAGACTTATCTAGCTGCCCATCTATATAACTATCTGCCCTCTGCTCTATTTAATAAGGGTTTACGTGTCTTTTCCCATTATCTTCCTTATTCTTTCTGCTTCTAAACCATTATATTAGCTTTCACTATTTTAGGTAAAACTTCCCTTTTAGCACTGTCATTTACTTCAAAGTTTAACTACTGTATAAAACCTTAGTTTCTTTTTTTTCAAATTCTTTATTGTGATTAAGTGATTACATAATTCCCCAAATTTCACCATATTGTGGGATAGTAATGCTTAGTTAAAGTCACAAACACATTCTAACTTTCATGGGGCAAATTGTCTATTGTGGTCTATAACATTTATTAGTTCTATGAGCTTTGAAAAAAAACCTTTAGTTTCTATATTGTTATTTATTTGTTTATTTCACAATTTTGTTTGATACTAGCCTGGAATCATATTGACATTTTCATACTTTATACAGTGTGTGTATTAGTAGTGAAGTCTAGAAAATTGCCCATTAAATACACTGTGACTTGCCTTGACTAGCTAGATAGTAAAAACTCACTAATTGTATATCTTTAGTTTCAGGTACAACATTATATCTCTAAGAGTCTGGTAATCCTGGGAAGTTGCAGCCTGTTGAGAAAATCTATTGTACCTCTACTTCTATCAGAAATTAACAGCTTTACTGATGATCTTGAAGCCATCAATCAGGTACACATAATTAAAAACTGTAGTTCTCATTTATATTTAGTTAATGTAATTAATGTAACTACAGGCTTCCCTTTTTCCCACTTATTTACTCATTTATTCCTTCCAATTTTTTTCTTTCCAGGCTGATATTTTAGTCATTTCTCAATTCTAGGGTATGTGATTATCATATGGTTGACAGTATTGGGACATGAGCTGAAGAACTTGGTGCTGCCAGGCAGGTGCTCTGCCACTTGAGCCATACCTCAGATAGCCTCACAGAGTCTGTTCCCTAGACCCAGTTTGGATTTTAGTCTTTCTAGCTCTGCCTCCCATGCAGCTGAGTCTTCCAGCATATACCATAGTGTATCGGAATAGTATTAGTTCCTATCAAGATTTCAGAAAGATACTATCAGAAAATCTTCAAAGTCCAGCCACCTGGTCTTACTTACTTACTTACTTACTTACTTACTTTGCCAAATGTTCCTTTGGTCACACCAAAGCAATGTTTATGTGAATGGCTTTACAATTCCCTAGGCAGGTAGCATATTCCTAAAGCAAGTAAATGAGAGAAAAGTCAACTGAAAGCAATATAAGAAATAAATTTAACTGAATTCAATTATATGTTTAACAGTAAGTACAAAAATACAAATTTTGCTTACACATTCCTCTTAAATTTTCATAGTAACATCATGAAGTGTTTATACATTTTACCCCGTTTATAGTTAAAGAAATCTACTCTTAAAATATATAAGCAATTTACAGTGTTGCAGATTGTAAAATGTTAAAGCAGAAATTCTAACCGAGGTTTTCTGATGGCTAACTCCCTTTAAAATATAGCAACTAAAAATGTAAGAAGGATAGTAACTCATCAAACAACAAATAGATTTTTATAGGTGTTAGTGTGTGTTAAATGCTTCACATGAATTTGCCCAATCCTTTTAAAAGCTCTTCAACTACTTAGTATTTTTAGAGGAAAGAAAATTATGACTCAGCATTAAACTGTAAGCAGGAGTAAAGCACTGTCTCGGGAAACACAGTGTAGCCAGGTGAAGCAGAAAGACTCATAAATAAAAATGGAATTTTGATAAGAGTTGAGAAAAGAGCCTCCAGGCTGAACTTTCATGAGTAACTCCCACAGCCACACAGTAGAATTAGGTTACCCAAGGAATTATTACCTTTGCCATCAGGAAACCAACTGGTGAATCCAAAATCTAATCTTAGGACCCAGAAAAGTGAGATCCTAATGGCTGGTAGAAGCCTGTGATGCACTGTCTGCTGTTTCACTGAAGAGGTTTGGCTTAATGAAACCTATAGCATACTCAGAACCTGCCAGGAGGAAGCTTAGCAAATATAGCCTTATGAATTCTTCAGATTTTCTTAACTGCAGAAAGCTGATAATATGATTAGTAATAGAGTTATTCCAAGATGTCCATTACCAGAAAAGTTCAGAGAGGCAGTAACTTGCTTATCGATGATGAGTGTGAGTAAGAAGGGACGCTATAGGGCAAAGAGTTTAGAATATAAAAGACTGTGTATTTGGGCCTATATTCATTGTAAATAAGAGTTATATTTCAAAGGATTCTGAAGAAGACTGTGAAAGAGAGAAAAAATAATGAACAAACAAATAGAAAACTAAAGTATGTAAAAATTAATATGATTGAAAATACTCAAAGGAAGTTTGTGGATTGATGTAATTGAGTTTGGATATGTTGAATTTGACAGCTTTGTAGTTGTATAAATATAAGCAGATGAAGCAGTCCTTGAAAGAATATCTCTGATACACAGCTACATTAACTACCTGCTCAAACAATAGAGTACTAACAGAAACTCAACAATACATCATTAATGTCTTGCAGAAATTACTAGACATATAAAAATCCAAGAATATATAAACTACAGCCTTGAGGAAAAATTAATAGAAATAGAACAGGTAGTGGCAGAAATAATAGAATTATCAGACAGGATCAAATTATTATTACTATGTTAAAAGAGTTTTTTGATGGGAATAGTAAAGGGAAAATAGGAAAGTTCAAGGAAAAATCAATGTATATATGCATATATGTATATATACTGATAAAGTTATTACAACATAAATATAAATACAAAAATCATTCTCAGTTATCTCAGCAATTTAAACACACATTTATTTAAAGATGCTAGATATAAAAGTGACTCCGGAAGAAATAGAAAGCCAAAGTTAACTAAGTTAACCAAATAAATTATATTTACAGATATAAACCTTCTCACAAAGATTTCAAGGTCACATGAAGAAATTATATTATTCCCCTCAAACCCTTTAGAATATAGGGAATATTTCCTAACTCATTTCAGGGAGCAAGTATTAACTTAGTCTCAAAATTAGACAACTATAATAAAAAGTCAAACAAAAAGTAGACAAATATTTCTCATGAATATAAAAATGAAGACCTTTAGTAAATATTAGGAAATGGAATCCCACCAACATGTAACATGAATAGTACCCAGTAACCAACTGGAATGTAACCCCAGAACTGCAGCTTGGTTTTCACATGCACAAAATGTATATAATTTACTTTATTAACAAACAAAACCCATATGATCTCAGTATATACAGCAATGGCCCTTGTTCAATTCATCACTCATCCATATTTTTAAACTGTATATTAAATTTAAATAGAAAACTTTCAACATGGTAAAATGCATGTATGAAGAACCTACAAACATCATACTCTGGTGTGGGAGATTGAATACTTTACCCAGGATTAGAAATATGAAATATTCTTTCTCTTTCATATTGAGCAGAATACTGAGGTTCATAGTCATCACAGTAAGGCAACTACTCTTGGAAAGATGGAGACAGAACCATCTGTTTATAGTCAGCATGACCATGAAGATGGAAAATTAAGGGGTTTTCTAAAAATCTATTGTATAGACTATCCTGAAATATATCCATACACATATAGCCAGTTGATTTTAGACTTAGTTGAGATTATTCAATTGGGAGAGGATCAACAAGTCGCTCTAAAAAAGGACAAATATTTGAACAATTCTTCCAAAAAAGAAGTATTTAAATAGACTGAGAAATGAACTGAACGATTACTGCAAGTGCTTAATTTTAAAAGACTGAAGATAACAAGTTTGGTAATAGCAGTGACCAAATTTAGTAACCTAAATTCATAAATTTCACATGGGAAAACAGATGAGCAGTTTCTCAAAAAGCTAGTCATACACTTACCAAATGGTCTTTTATATTCAACAGCAGCATTTATATAAGGAATCATATGTTAGCTAAGTGCAGTGCCTACCACATGTAATCTAGGTTCTTGAAATGTGAATTTTGGAGGATCATAGGTATAACCCAGCTAGAGCAGAAAGTTACTGAGACCTTTTCATTAAAAATATAGTTATATATTTTAAATTTTATTATTTAATAGTTGTACAACAAGGTTACAATTTTATAAGTCAAGTTCCATGTAAAGAAGAAAATAAATATGTTAATGCTCTGATTTTTATCCCTCTCCAAATCTTATTTTGAAATTAAAACATCTGTAAGTTTCTTTGCAAAACTTCTAACCTTTAAATCCAGAAACCATGTCAGTTAATCAATCATTCAAGTGTTAAAATGTAGGTTTTTAGACTGAGTCTTGGTGGCTCATGTCTGTACTCCTATCTGCTCAGGAGGCTGGCCATCTGAGGATGGTTTGAAGCTAGCCAGGGCAGGAAAGTCCATGACACTTTTTTTCCATCTTATTATTAAGTGGTTGTAGAAAGTGGGTACAATTCCATATGTCAGTTTATGAGAACAATGCATCTTGATCACTGTCACCCCTTCCATTGTTCTCACCAATTTCCCTCTCCCATCCCTACCTTTTACGTATTTCTGTTTTTTCCATAATGTACATGGGATATAATGACTGCATTTACTCACTACTTCCATTTCTTGTATGTGAGACCCTTTCTTACAGAACAAGCCAGGTAGGAAGTAGGAGAGCTAGTCCAGGAAGAAGTTACAAGATCTGACCTGAAAAATAGGGAAACAAAAAGGGCGGAAGACATAGCTCAAGTATTAGCACACTCAAATGCAAGGCCCAGAGTTCAAAACTCAGTACCACCCCAAAAAAGGAGAAAAATAATTCAGAAGTGAACAGTCATTGTTCATAATGTTGTTTACTGTTTAAATAATAAGTAATTCATCATAAATGTATAGTGTAATTCTACTCAGCTATAAAATATATTAAACCAATGACATATCATAGATAAATCCAAAAAGTAAATGAAAGAACAAAATGCTGAGTAAAATAAGGCAAACACAAATTATTCTCAGCCTGAGAATTGCTACAAAAACAATAAAATGTTTTACATTGATATAATACTTTTATAAATTGATTTGACAACATTATCAGATGTTAGTGATCTGAAGTGAAATTGAATTAATAACAAAATTAATGACAAAATTAATGACAAAATTTAATATGTAGATCTCCTTCTGAGATATAGTCTACTGCACAAAGAAGGCCTGAAAATTGTGTTTTTTAACAATGGTTTCATAGCTTAAAATCAGAAATAGGTATTCAAAATGAATATTCTATATTAGTTAGAATAACATGTATTTTGTGATGTAATCTGAAAGTATAATGTTGTGTTAAACAGAACATAAAATATGCAAGGAAAAGAAATCCATATCTATAATTTGAAAAAAATTATAACAGATACACATATGACACTCTTCCAGTGTAGTAGTTTAAGATATAATGTAAATGAAATAATATATCACAAAATATTAATAAGTTTGAATTACATATGATGTTTACTCAAGATGTATGTTTTTTTACATTCTAAAATACTTTTATTGAAAAGAAAAAGCCACATTTAGTGTCAGAAGTATGTTTAAAGTTGTTTCAGATTTTAATTGCTTTTTAAAGAAATGCTTTTCTCCTACCTCACCAGCATGTTTTTAGATATAGTAAGTAACCAAGATATTATAATTGAATAGTACTTTTAGAATATTGATAAAGATTAGTGAAACCTGAATTGAAAATATG